GGCTGGATGCTTTGTGTATCTCCTTCAAGTCCTCCCTGTGCCCTTCCCCCTGATGCACCTGTTCATTTTGTCATCTACACAGCACTTTGCAGCCCATAGCTTTCTTGATGAAACCATGCAAAGCTTTGGTAAGTATTCAGAGATTCAGCTTCCTCAGGGAGCCAGTTCTCTCGCAGGGGATTAACTGAAAATAAGTCATATTTACGTTGTGTCTGCTCGTCCTGAGGCTTGTTTTAAACTGATTACTGAAATTCTTTCTCCTATTCTCTCCCTTAGAACCACAGAATAAGGTGGTCCACCCACTTATCTGTCCAAGAACCCCAGTTGCCCAAGTGATAAAATACAAAGCCTTGACTCTTACCAAAACCATCCCTTTCTTCTCTGTACACATTCGCTCACAGGCAGATAGATGTGTGTGTTTACCCACAAAGGTCACTGAGGCTCTCTGAACACTGCACGTGTGTGATGGACAAACTCAGCAAAAACCCTCAATTATTTTTCGTCACTGAAAATCCCTGTGTTTGGCTTTTTCTTTCACAATGTTTTGAACTGCCTGAGTGTGGGCCAAATTCTCCCTTTTAAGTTATTAGAACTCAGCAGTTTCAGTAAAATTGCTCCTAAATAGGATGCTGTCTGCTTTGGGGAACTCATGGAACTTTCCAGAAGCAAGAAGCAGGTGGATGAGAAAATCTCAATGGTGAAATGGAAATCCTTTGAAATGTAGACTGATGAGGTTAAAAATGAATGTGGTTTAGAGTCTGCTGCTTATGCCCAGAGTTCCAGGGAGCTGGAAGAAGCACGCTGCTGAATCCTCAAAAAGATCTGTCTACATAAGCAAAGATAAGGGGAAACTTGAAGCAGATGTCTAGATATTCAACCATTCTCTGCTCCAACCTGCACCCCTATTACTGAGTGAGAGGCCATTGGGGGGAAGAGTAATTAATGAAACTGGCCATCTTCACTAATCCAACTCACCAGAAAATTGCTCTATTAGCAACAGGCTAAATGTTGTTTCTAGGGAAAGTAAAAAAGGCTAATGATAGTGTTCATCTTGGGATAACTACAAAAATATTGTTAATGTTACTTCTGAGCTGCAATTTTAATTATAGAAGTCAGGCGATCCCAAATTACTGTTCCCACAGCAACTGTAATTCAGTTGACTCGGCAAGGCTTTTCACAGATGAGGATAATACCTCTACATTATTGTTGCTGGGAGAAGTGCAGTTATTTTATTTGTATCCAAGCTACAGAAAGTTGTACTTCATAGTTTTCTTGTTGGAATGGTGGTTGTTAGAGATGACAAATGTCCTTCTGAACCACTGAGAATATACATTTAGATGTATGGGTAAATATTCATGCAGCTCCAAGCTTCACATTTATAGGGTCATAATGACCTCCAGTAAAATTTGAAAATCCTCTATTCCTCCCAAAGTAATCCCAGCAATCAGCTACCAGGACAAAGAAAAGAGGAGATGGTGTTCCCCAAAATGGAACATTTTAAACATTTTTGACATTTAATCTATTATACTGATGATGACTGAATCTGTGATTTTCAAATAAATGATCTACTAATTTTGGTTTGATTTCAAGCATTTCTCAGTAGAAAAAATCACTGGATGAGAAATAAATAAGAAAAGTTAGAAAAAAATTTCAGTAAATATTTTGGAAAATTTGTCAGATACCGAAACATGATAATGAAATAGAATAACAAAAACTAGTCATTTCTCAGTTAACACATTTACCCTTCCAGCCCAGAAAATTGTCTGATATTGATTGACACTGGGATGAAATTAACATAATCCTGATGATTCTATTATAGTTCTCTGTTTTTGAAAGTATATCAAGCTCGTTCTTAGCTGTCTCTCAGAGAAGTAGACATTATCCAAGGAGGCAAAGAAATAGAAACTGACCCAAAGCAGATGTGAAGATATAATGAGGAGATTAAAATTGAAATCAACAAGGATACCACTGGCTAGTGTAGCTCAAGGGATTGAGTAAGGGCTGAGAACCAAAGGGTCGCCATTTCGATTCCTAGTCAGGGCACATGCCTGGGTTGCAGGCCAGGTCCAGGCAACCAGACAGATATTTCTCTCCCTCTCTTTCTCTCTCCCTTCCCTTCTTTCTAAAATGTAAATAAATAAAACATTTTTAAAAAGAGAAATCAACAAGGATAAAAGAATATAAAGTTGTGACCAAATACAACTAAGGCAGATTATTTTTCCTCCCCATAAATGAGGAGAAAAAAAGATTTTTTAAAAATTTACTGATAGTAACCAAGCAAAAAAGCCATAACTGAAAGCAGTAACTGATGGCCAAGTAGCTTTAGGCTCCTAACTCTGCCTCTGTCCCCCACACTCTTAAAGACATAATTTTAAAAATGAAATCAGGAGAGGAAGACACAAAATAAGAAATAAAAGCCATGGGGCTGCTTCCCTATATGTACATGGAGTCTTCATGTCTGGGTTCTGAATTGGAGAAACCATCTAAAGTCTTCATCAAAATGGCCTATGTTTCCAGTGGGTGAAGTGAATTAGGACATATTCACAGAAGAATGTGCCCCCAAATCTGCAAATAAAGATGGGCCAGCTGAGCTCTCCCTTTCCCTATCCCCTATTCCTTCAGACTCTAAAAGAGTAGATAGATCACAAGGCAATTCACACTTGAAAGGGAAAATTAACTGACCTCCAGCATGGTGGCAAAAGGCTCGGGGACTCACCACATGGCAACTACAGTGTCAGGCAGGACCACAGCATGCAAAAGAAGGGCAGGCTGGCCCTCAAACAAAATAAAACGTAAGAAACAGAGACAGATTCCTCACAAAGGTTTAGTAAGAATATAACTTACATTCTTAGAACTTACTAAGAGTATAAATGTATTTTTAAGCATTAAGCAAGGTGATAAAATAATAAGAACAAATTGAAAAGAAAAACTGAAAGTCTAACAAATCAAGAACAAAAATAACATTAATGTAGAAATTATATATAAATAGAAATGTTAATATATATAAGAAACTCTATCGAAAATCTGTTTCCTAACAATAGACAAAAGTATTCATATAATCATGTAAATACTCATGACAGACAAGGAAATTACAGGCAGAGAAAGAATCTAAAAGATATGAAGACATTTAAGTATTATATAATCCGAGATTATAATTGGAGTCCCTGAAGAGGGATTCTACCAAATGAAATGAAAGAAATATTGAAAATATATAAAAAATATTTCCCAGAAATAAAGGACCAAGTCTATTCCAGGAAATATAAAATAAAATGTTCAAAACCTAAACATCTTGTTTAAGCTATTAAATTCAAAGGATAAAGAAACAATTCTTCAGATGTCAAACCAGAAAAAGTCAATTCCCTCCAAGGGAGGAAAAAAACAAGCTGGCTTCAGATTTTCCCATCGCCATACTCGGTGCCATGTTATCTGAAAATGGAGAAAGAGAGAGACTGAAGGATCTTCTACCCAGCCAAGGTGTTAAACGTAAACACAACAGGGACACCGGTTTAAACCTGAAGAACTAAAGCAACCTTGAGACTTTTTTTGATAATGATAGTTCAGCCAGTAAAATCATCAAAATAACTCAGAAATGGAGAAGTAAAGGTAAAATGGCTGGTGAGAAACACTAGGCTTGTTTAAATGCAGCACTAATCCTAAACAACTATGGGAATTGCAGGTGGAATATGAATGCTATCAATTGGGCTAAATATAAAAAGGGGACTAGAGATAGAAGTGAGGAAGTACATACTTATATTTTCATCCTTCCCGATTGATTCCCAACCAATATTGTCTAAAATTATATTACATACTTTAAAATGCCACACATAGCTATTCCAATCTCATAATATTTTACAATGTTTTTACCTTAGAGTGCTTACTTTGGGCATACTTATTATAATGATGAAACTTTTATTTGAAGTTTGTCAATTATTTCTCTTTCATCTCTACTATTCAATTATATTGATAATTAAAATTTATCCTTTTTTAATGGCATGTAGGGTACAGCCTTATTTTATCAAAGTCTATTTCTACATGTATCTTAAATATATAGCTGACGTTAATAATGACTTTCTAAGTTGTGAGGCAGTTTTTAAAATTTTAATCTTTGTAACCTTCAGAATTTAAAAACCCATTTGAAATCATCATGTTTTATGTTATGAAAACAACTGTGCAAATTATTTTCAAAATGAAAAAAGTGCCAAAAATGATTAATTGTGGGTGATGTGAGTACTTGGAATTATTTTCTTCTTAGTACTCTTCTATAACTTTTTTAAAAGGTATTATTTATTTATTTTTAGAGAGAGGGGAGAGGGAGAGAAACATTGATGTGTGGTTGCCTCTCACACGCCCCCAGCAGGGGACCTGGCCCACAACCCAGGCATGTGCCCTGACTGGGAATCCAATTGGTGACTCTTTGGTCCTCAGGCCAGCACTGAATCCATTGAACTACACCAGCCAGGGATCATAACACTCACTTTTTAACATGTATAATTCAATGGTCCCTAGTATGCTCATCAACCTGTGAATATATTACCACTTTCTAATCTCAGAATATTTTTATCACCCCCAAAATAAACCCCATACTCATTAGCAGTCACTCCCCATTCCTCCCTCCCACCAGCCCCTGGGAGGCACTCTGTTGATATGTGTGATATGACCAGAATCATACAAATGTGGCCTTTTGTGACTGGCTTCATTAACTCAGCATAGTGTTTTCAAGGTTTATTCATGTTGTAGCATGCATCAGCACTTCATTTCTTTTCAATGCCAAATATTTCATTAAATGGGTATATCACATTTCATTTACTCATTCATCAGCTGATGGACATTCCCATTGTTTCACATCTGGACTATTACAAGTAATGCCTCTATGAACATGTAGTCACAAGTTGTTGTGTGGACATATGTTTTCCCTTGGGAAACATGGAATTTCTGGATCATATGGTAACTCTGTTTAGGAGCACAAACATTTAAACTTCCTTCTTCCTCTTTGTCCCCAGGCAGAAATGGTGCATAGTGCTTTCCAGGCCCAGCGGGCTTTCCTTCTGATGGCTTCTCAGTACCAGCAACCCCAAGAGGTAAGAGTGTTTCCAGAGAGATGGGGCTGCCTAGAGAATGGGCTGTGTAACATTAAAAAAAATGAGGAAGCAATAGAACCAGTTACTGTGGGTGACAACCTGAAAACGAGATTTACAACACATGTAGGCCCTATCTCCATGCCACACCATGATATAGAACATTTCTTCTGTCTTCATAATCTCATTGTGGCCAAATTCATAACAATTGACATCACCAATGTAAAAGGTCCATTTATTTATGTCATCTGTATCCTATTCTTTTTACTGATCTCACAACTCTTTTATAATCAAGAAAGAGTTTACTATTAATTTTTAGTTCATGCTTTAAGCTGTTTTGTTATCAAAAGTGTTCACATCTATCAATGCATACACAATATTTGTCCAGAAGGTATCCATCCACAGAATATGAAAAATACAGAGTTATTGAAGAAGATACAAGATACAAGAAACATTGTACATAGGCCAATGATGCCTCAGTCCCCTTCAAAGTAAGTACCTTGGAACCTCACACAGTTCTCCCAATCACCATCAGCTGCCCCATTGTATTTTCTTGAATCTCATCGATGGTCTGAAATCTCTTCACTTTCAAAGGTGATTTTAGTTTTGGGAAAAGCCAGAAGTTTCAGGGCACCAAATCTGGGCTATAGTGGGGCTGAGTCACCTGTGCAATTTACTGTTTTGCCAAAAACTCTGCACAAAGTGTAATGAATGAGAGGGCATGTTTTTGCGATGAAGATGCCAATCGCCAGTTGCCTATAACTGTGTCCTTCTCGAGATATTAACAGTGGCTGGACTTTTTTCAGACAGACCTGGTATATTCTATGTATGAATTTGATTATCTTCTATTTCATAAGTAGTATAAATAAGCTAAAAAGTAGATCTATTACCAGCATACTTTGTTAAATAAGATAAAATAATTGTTCTTTTGACTAAATATTCTGCATCTTAATTTTGGTTATAACCATATAAATATAGGAGATAATTGAATATTCCTTATAACACAATAGCTTAAATTTAGTGGCTCACTTTGAATTCTAATACAACCTCCTGAAATTGAAAAAATTTAGCTGAGAATCCTGGGAAACTAGGGCTTTGACTTTTGGGCAATGAGGCTCAGCTCCATAAAGGGCCAACACTTGAGACCCTAGACCCATCCACACCCCTGCTGCCCCCACACTGCCCTCTACCCAGAACAGTGGTTCCCAGCCCAGGTTATGCAATGGTATGACTCAGAAACTTTTAAAAAATACCAGTGCCTGGTACTTTTTATACCAAAAAATACTGGTAAAATACCAGTCCAAGAGGTTCTGGTTTAATTAGTCTGAGGTATGATCTTGGCCTTGATAGTTTTATGGGCTTCTCAGGTGATTCGAACTTGTAGCCGGAGCTGCCAAACCCCACCTGGATAGATGGATGGATCACTTCCGTTATAGGAAATAAGTATTATAAGGATGGAAATACCTATGTCCTTCTGTGGATGCATTTTCTTCCTTGGTTTACTCAATCCTTGATTTTTTTTTCTCTTTGCAAATAAAGAACAGTGAAAGTAGGAAATCACAATGTGATGCATTCTAGAGACATACTTAGCTTTTCTATGATTAAAGTGAGAGGAGAGGTCATCTCAATGTATCATGGAGAGACTCAGGTGGAGGGAAGAAAAATGACTTTCTTGGCTGGTGCCCCACTCAATCCCTTCTTGAAGCACAAAACAAAAGGCTTCTCCATGGGCCTTGAAAACCTTGCACATAAAAGTCATTCATTAAATATTGGGTGAACAAGTGAACAAGTGAACAAATGAGCAAATGAATGAATGCACGGGGATGAGCAATGGCCAGGGATAATGTGTGTCTGAGCATGTGGCTATGCAGATTCTTGGGTGTAATATCTATAGCTCCCCCTTCTTGCTTGACTGCATTCTTGATCAAAAGAAGAGGAATGGACCTGTTCCAGGGGACTCATACCCAGGAAGAGCACAGACTGCCAGTGTTCCCTATAGAACTATTACCATGCTCTGACAGTAGTAAGCCCCACAGTATCAGGTAGGCAAAATGCAAAGCAATTTTTCTGATATTTGCCTTCCTTATTTTGCTCTCCATCTTTACCCAGAGGACTGACCTAGTACTTCCACTCCATAGAAAAACAGAGTTTGGAGGTTACCACCACAGTGGTGAGAATAGTCCATGGGCAGGCCTTTATTTTCCCCATGTACATTCTTTTTTTAAATACATATTTTTAATTATGCTATTACAGTTGTCCCATTTTTTTCGCCCCTTTATTGCTCTCCACCCTGCAACCCTCCTGCCACCAGCATTCTCCCACTTACTTCATGTCCATGGGTCATACATATAAGTTCTTTGACTTCTCCATGGGGGGAAGAGGTTATTCTTAACCTCCCCCCATTTACTTTGTGCCCACCATTTATGCTTCTTATTCCCTATACCTTTTCTCCCATTCTCCCCCATCCCCTTCCCATAACCCTCCATGTGATCTCCATTTCTGTGATTCTCTTCCTGTTCTAGTTGTTTGTTGGATTTTTTGTTTTTATTTTTGTTTTAGGTTCCGTTGTTAATAGTTGTGAGTTTGTTGTCATTTTACCATTCATAGTTCTGATCATCTTCTTTTTCTTAGATAAGTCCCTTTAACATTTCATATAATAAGGGCTTGGTGATGATGAACTCCTTTAACTTGACCTTATCTGGGAAGCACTTTATCTGCTCTTCAGTTCTAAATGATACCTTTGCTGGATAGAGCAATCTGGGATGTAGGTCCTTGCCTTTCATGACTTAGAGTACTTCTTTCCAGCCCCTTCTTGCCTGCAAGATTTCTTTTGAGGTATCTGCTGATAGACTTATGGGAACTCCTTTATAGGTAACTGTCTCCTTTTCTCTCGCTACTTTTAAGATTTTCTTTTTATCTTTAAACTCTGGCATTTTAATTATGATGTGCCTTGGTGTGTTCCTCCTTGGGTCCAACTTCTTTGGTACTCTCTGGGCTTCCTGGACTTCCTGGAACTCTATTTCCTTTGCCAGATTGGGGAACTTCTCCTTCATTATTTGTTCAAATAAGTTTTCAATTTCTTGCTCCTTCTTTCCTCCTTCTGGCATTCCTATGATTCGGATATTGGAATGTTTAAAGTTGTCCCGGAGGTTCCTAAGCCTGTCCTCATTTTGTTGAGTTCTTGTTTTTTTCATTCTGTTCTGGTTGAATGTTTCTTTCTTCCTTCTGGTCCAAATCGTTGATTTGAGTCCCAGTTTCCTTCCCTTTACTGTTGGTTCCCTGTACATTTTCCTTGATTTCACTCTGCATAGCCTTTACTTTTTCCTCTATTTTGTGACCATCCTGAACCATTTCTGTGAGCATCCTGATTACCAGTGCTTTGAACTCTGCATCTGATAGGTTGGCTGTCTCTTCATCGATTAGGTCTATTTTTGGAGCTTTGTCCTGTTCTTGGATTTGAGCGAAATTTTTTTGCCTCAGCATGCCTGTTAAGTTGTAAGGGGTGGATCCTTAGGTATTCAACAGGGAGGGGCAACCCATGTTGCTGTGTTTTGGCACTGTATATGGGGGAGGAATCCAAGAGGGAAAAATGCCACTTGCTTAGCTCTCAGCTAGCTTTCAGTCACTTCCCCCACTACCCACAAGCAAATTGGGCCCTTCTAGGCCTGATACCCAAGTGGGTGGGTTTGTGTATATTCTAGGACCCTCTGCATCTCTCTCTGAGGAACACTTTTGTGAGGCTGGGAGTTTCTTTTGCCACTGCAATCCCCACAGCTTTTTAAAGCCAGAGGTTTTGAGGCTTTATTTCCCCATACTGGAATCCTGGGTTGTGTGATCTGCCTTGCTCCTCAATTATTCCTCCTGGCTTATCCACAGGCAAATGTGGGATCACCCAGTCCAATCGCCTCCTCAACCACCTGGTCCTCCAACCACCTCCTTGCCATGAGTCCTCTCTTTCCCAGCTGTCCATCTCTGCCCCTCCTACTGATCTGGATGAATATTTCTTCTTTAACTCCTTTGTTGTCAGACTTCCATACAGTTTGATTTTCTGGAAGTTCTGGTTATTTTTATTTTTAAATTTGTTGTTGTCCTTCTTTTGGTTGTGAAAGGAGGAAAAGTATATTATTTGCCTACACTTCCATCTTGTCCAGAAGTGGCTCTATTTTCCCCATGTACATTCTAAAGATAGATGATAAAGAAGATTATCATTAAGAAGATTATAGTTTCTTATGAAGACAATGTTATAACTGTCCGTACAGGATACAATTAACTTCTGTAATTTCAACTCTCATTAACATAGGGCAGTGGTTCCCAAACTGTAGCATGTATAAGAATCACAGGTAGGGTTGTTAAGACACAGATTTCTGGGCTCTACTACAGAGTTTTCAGTTCAGTAGGACCTGGTTGCAGCCTGAGATTCTGCATTTCTCAAAAGTCCCCACATGATGGTGATATTGCTGCTCCAGGGACCATACTTTGAGAACCTGTGACTCTCACAGTTATGCCTCTAGCACCAATTTATTTCAGGTGTTTCCAACTTTCATTTCCAGCTGCCTCTCAAGCATTTCTTCTCAAGTTTTAATTTCATTTGAATCACTTGCAAGTCTTGTTAAAGTGCAGGGTCTGGATCAGTAGGTCCAAAGTGAGACCCAAGAAGCTGTAGTTCTAACAAGGTGATACTTCCACTGCTGGTTCATGGCTGCACTTTGGGCAGCAAAAATTTGCATGTTACCACCTAAAATCCCTACAGGAATAAAATCCCTCAGTAGTAAAATATCAAACTAATGTTTTTTTATCTGAACATCTCAATATCAAAGTCAGGTTATGCCACAGTAACAAGCATCTTCTAAATCTTAGTGACTTCTAACAGCAGAGATTTATTTCTTGCTTACATTTCATGCCTATACAAGGTGATGTACTTTCTAGTGGATGAGATGTTAAATGATTACTCATAGAATTATTAACTTAGAATTGTAATAGGGCCCTGAGATAAAATGGTAGAG